TTTTCTTAATTAAAATCATTTTTCCCAGACAAAAAGTGTCACTAAAACTAATAAAATTGTATAAATTGTATAATATATCAATAAAACTATCGTTAAAAAACTTATATAATTCCGCGTTTAAATTATCCCTTCCCGGAGCTTTATTCACATGGAGAGATTGGATAGCTTCCAAAATCTCGCTTTTTGAAATCTCTTTACTTATTATATCATTATTTTTATCTTTTATAGGAACTATTTTACTAAGTATTTCATTCTCTAAAGACTCATCAAACTGTGGGATCTCAAATAAATATGTATAATAATTATAAAACTTCTCCATTATCTCTCCAGTATCCTTTATTTCGTTTCCGAACTCATCTTTTATTTTCTCTATTTCTATACTTTCCCTCATTTTCCCTTTCTTTTCGAATACTGCTCTTTCCGCTTCTCTTTTTATTCTATATTTATCCAGTTTATAACGTATATAATTCTCCTTATTTTTCATATCTAACTCTCTTATAATTTCTCTCTCTATTCTTTCTATTTCCATTACATTATTTTTAATAATCATTTCTGTCAGCTCTCTCTGTAATCTCTTTACCTTGGAAAAATTATCTTTCTTATTTTTATACCATATTTTTTCTACCTCTAAATAAATCTGCTGCTTTAACCAATCCCATTTATCCCAATCAGATATATCTCTATTATTTTCCAAGAGTTCTATTATTCTATTTTTAAAGAGTTCATTTTCTAATATTTCTTTTGTTATTTTTATCCGTTTCTCTCTTCTAATTTTCTTTCCTATTCTAATATTCACATCTACCATTTTATGATCTGTTAATTTCCGTCTCTCGGTCTGTAATGGATAACATATTATTCCTTCTACTTGATCTAAACTCTTTGATACATAAATCCTATCCAACCTCTCCATGATACCGCGACCCTCCCAAGTAAAACCCGGATGACACGGATAACAAACCCTAAAAACGTCATATAAATTAAAATCAGAAATAATTCCTCTTAAAATATTTCTTGAACCATCGTATAAAATTGGCCCATTCTTATCAATACTATCCAGTACACAATTAAAGTCTCCCATGAGTATTATTTCTCTTCCCACTCTTAAAAAATCAATTAAATTTCTAAAAAAATCTTTTCTCTCATAGATTTGAGTTGGTGCATATATATTAATAACACGTATATACCGATCCCCAACATTAATATCTACGGATATTAATCTACCATTTTTATCAGTTCTAAAATCCTGTACACATATTGATTTCTTAATTAACAGCAATACCCCAGTACTTCGCCTTGTCGCGAAAGACGCATAAATATTATAGAACGTAAACATTTTCCTCAATTGCCTAATGTCAGATATATCTCTAATATTTGTGTCCTGTATCCCTAATATATGAATATTATTTGTAAGAACCATATTCACAATATACACTTGTTTGCTTATATCTCTCATCCCAGTTATATTAATAAATCGAATATTTAAAATTGGGTGATCAGCCATTATCGGTTCTATTTTGTGATTCCTTCTTTTTCTCATTTGAATCTATATACATTGATGGTTGTCTAACATCTGCTCCTTGTTGTTTCAATATTGACAACTTTTCCTCATAGGTTAAACTAGTATCTAATGCTAAACTTCTAAGTGCCCTTTTACTATTTTCCTTTTCTAAACTTTTATTTCTCTTTCTTTTCGTTTTCATTTCCGGTATTACTTCCGGTGTTCTTTCTATCTCATTTATTAATTCTTTTACTTTACCATTACCTTTTTTTCCATCTTTCTCTATTTTTTCCGCTATAACTAACACTTCCGGTATCAAACACTTTTCCTGCACTTCACTTTCTAACTGTTTTTGACTATCTATTTCTTTCTCTTTTTCATTAACTTTTTGCTTTTCTCTCTGCCATCTCTCTAAACTCCTTTCCCTCTTACGCTCCAAACTTACTTTTCTCGGTCCTATTCGACAAATATCAGCAAAAGTTTGTACAGGACAAAGTTCTCCTTTACTATGCTTTCTCCTACAATTATAACAATTCTCACAATCTTTTACCAAATGAAATTTACTCCCACACCTATAACACGATTTAACAGGACACATTCTTGCCTCATGATCAAAATCTCCGCATCTAAAGCATTCTTTTTTACAACCAACATAATACAGAATCACCCTTCTCCCCAATATCTCCATAGTGGTTGGAATTCTTTTCCTCGTTACAATAACCACCCGAACAACACCCGTTCTTACTTGCATATTAGGATAAAGAATTATATGAACGTTAACTACTAAACCATATTTAGAAAAAATTTCCTTAATCAAATCTTCATCTGCCTCAAAGGGCATAAATCTAACCGTTACAACTATTAAATCAGCCTCAAGGCTTTCAATTACACAAAGTTTACCTCCTAATTGTATTTCTTGACCTACTAGTCTTTCTTTCTCCTCCACTGTTGAGACACCCACTTCAACAACACCTCTTGGTCTGTAACAGACTTGCTTTACGCTTCCTTCCTTCTTTATCTTATCTTCACAAGCCTTTATCAGTTCTGTTGTATCAATCTTCTCTTGACTAATAATTCTTACTGATTTTACCGCTGAATACTTTTCAATTTTCGTTATTTCTTCTACAGCTTCTTCTTCCGCCGAAACGCCTTGAGTAAAGTCCATGGACTCATCCAGACCGGTGGCAGCCGCATCGGGATGTCGACGGGAACTTGAAGCAACTGACCCATCGTGGATGGAGAGGGACTCACCCTCACCACCTAGGGCCTCCATCAACGTTGTCGTCCAACTCGCCGATGGGGAAGTCTCCCCCATCCAACGACTTCGGCTCTCAGCCGAGGCGTTAAAAAATCAAAAGTCAGTAAAATCCAAAACACTCACCAAATAAAGGCTGTAAATACGTAAAACGTCCAAAAGAGGTGATAAAACTAGTAAAAAGCAGGTAAAAAATAAACGTCCAANCTAACCGTTACAACTATTAAATCAGCCTCAAGGCTTTCAATTACACAAAGTTTACCTCCTAATTGTATTTCTTGACCTACTAGTCTTTCTTTCTCCTCCACTGTTGACACACCCACTTCAACAACACCTCTTGGTCTGTAGCAGACTTGCTTTACGCTTCCTTCTTTCTTTATCTTGTCTTCACAAGCCTTTATCAATTCTGTTGTATCAATCTTCTCCTGACTGATGATTCTTACTGATTTTACCGCTGAATACTTTCTAATTTTTGTCGTTTCTTCTACAGCTTCGTCTTCCGCCGAAACTCCTTGAGTAAAGTCCATGGACTCATCCAGACCGGTAGCTGCCGCATCGGGATGTCGACGGGAACTAGAAGCAGCTGACCCATTGTGGATGGAGAGGGACTCACCCTCACCACCTAGGGCCTCCATCAACGTTGTCGTTCAGCTCGCCGATGGGGAAGTCTCTCCCATCCAGCGGCTTCGGCTCTCAGCCGAGATGTTTAAAAAGTCAAAAGTCAGTAAAATCCAAAACACTCACCAAATAAAGGCTGTAAATACGTAAAACATCCAATAGAGGTGATAAAACTGGTAAAAGCGGGTAAAAAACGTCCAAACTTTCAAAAAAAATCCAAAGTCGAAAAAGTCGGCAAAAATGTAGNAGTCTCCCCCATCCAACGACTTCGGCTCTCAGCCGAGGCGTTAAAAAATCAAAAGTCAGTAAAATCCAAAACACTCACCAAATAAAGGCTGTAAATACGTAAAACGTCCAAAAGAGGTGATAAAACTAGTAAAAAGCAGGTAAAAAATAAACGTCCAAACTTCCAAAAAATCCAAACTCGAAGAAAAACGGCAAAGTTGTAGAAAATTCGATAATTCACTATAAATATCGAATTTTTTCTTAACAGGAACTACTATTCGATCTTAGCCAATAAGGCCGAGAAGCGATAAAAAACACATCAAAGGTGCCGACAGGCCAAGTGTGGAGACATACAAAACACCTGCGGTGTGTCCAGGTTACGTCGATCGGCAAATATTCGTTAAAACACATGAAAGAACGTCAGGAAACGGTAGGTGACGATGCAAAAGGCTACAGGAAATGTCAGGTATTGCATGGGTGTTGCCTGACCCCCAGTACTTCGCCTTGTCGCGAAAGACGCATAAATATTATAGAACGTAAACATTTTCCTCAATTGCCTAATGTCAGATATATCTCTAATATTTGTGTCCTGTATCCCTAATATATGAATATTATTTGTAAGAACCATATTCACAATATACACTTGTTTGCTTATATCTCTCATCCCAGTTATATTAATAAATCGAATATTTAAAATTGGGTGATCAGCCATTATCGGTTCTATTTTGTGATTCCTTCTTTTTCTCATTTGAATCTATATACATTGATGGTTGTCTAACATCTGCTCCTTGTTGTTTCAATATTGACAACTTTTCCTCATAGGTTAAACTAGTATCTAATGCTAAACTTCTAAGTGCCCTTTTACTATTTTCCTTTTCTAAACTTTTATTTCTCTTTCTTTTCGTTTTCATTTCCGGTATTACTTCCGGTGTTCTTTCTATCTCATTTATTAATTCTTTTACTTTACCATTACCTTTTTTTCCATCTTTCTCTATTTTTTCCGCTATAACTAACACTTCCGGTATCAAACACTTTTCCTGCACTTCACTTTCTACCTGTTTTTGACTATCTNATTGTATAACATATTCTGGAACCTCAACAATAATAATTAATTGTAACATATTATTAATTAACGGTAAATCATATGAATTATTTATTCTGTATTCACGAAAATTGTACTCAATGATATTAACGATATATGTATTGTAGCAATTTTTTTTTCTCCTGGCAATGCTACTGCGGGGCCAGGATATGTGTTATTACATATTAATAAAATTGATTGATTGTCTTGCTATAGCTGTAATCGCTCCTCTGGCATCTTCCGTGAAGGAAATCCGACTGGAAAAAGAAAAAAAATTCATTTCGTTAATTTATCTTTTATTATTTATTTCCCCCCTTCCCAAAGGGGGGTGGGCTATCTCTGGCTATAAGTGCCAGGCCAGAGCAACCCGCGGCGGGGAGGGAGCAAGCCCCCTGTCTTGCCCAGTTTCAAAAATCAGTTTAATATCGAAGGTCTCCGATGGAAACCGTATCAGATATCAAGCTGATAAGAACAGATACTTTTACTTTTAATTAAAGTTTATTTAAAACACAAAATGCTTTACATTGCAGCACGCAGGCTATGAGATAACATAATAGAAATATCAGATACATGCTTTAGATCTCGACAATTTCTGGCTATAGACCCCCAAATAAGAAAGTGAAGAAATATACAAATATGTACAAAGGTGGGTGAAAATGGCTGGGATGAAGTGTTTAACATATGCACAAATATTAAGGCACATTGATTGATGATACAAGAAACATTCGAATAACAACAGTGTTTGGTTTAAACCCGAGTACATTATAGGCAATAGTTTACAGAACGAAGTAGAACGAGAGTCATGTTAACACAATAGTGACTGGTGAACAGGATGTGAAGAGTAGCAAACAGCCTAACGTAATGGCTGCGTGGGAAGCAGAGAGGAAGCCGATAAGGGCTAGCTGTCAATGATGGTGTAGTTATTGTTTTCTTTTTTCCATATAGTGTCTATGGTGCCTCGATATAGGGTCATAAATTTTTTCTCTGTAAAGAGGTCTTGATCCGATTCTATTTTGATATTGGCTTCTTCCTTTATTTTGTTGATTGTAAGAGTTGCATTCCACCTTTTCTTGTCATAGTGAAGTGCGCATCTCGCTTTCCATATGATTTTTTTTGACAGAGCAATCAACCAATTAATACAATAGGTGTTCTGATTCTTTACCGGATAGTTCATGTGGTATTTGATTGTATTCCAAGAGAGGTTGACTTTGAAGATTTTATAAAACCATTTCCAGATTTTATTTGGAAGTGAGCATTCATAGTAGAGATGAAAGCAGTTTTTATCTCTAGTGCATCTTGGACATCTAGCATTGGATATACGATGGTATGTATGGAGGTACATCTTGGTCATTGTCACATTGTTGATATCTCTCCATGCTGTCTCTCTCCATTCCGCAGGGAGTCTGCCGAGATTTAACCAAGTTTCACTCCAGATGATGGCATTGTCATTAATGTTACTGTTCGAATATTGGGTGAAGATGTTACGATAAACAATGCTTGGCTTGATGTTTGCATTAACTTGGTCATTGCTCATTAGTGTGTTGAGCGTGGTTCTCCACAAGGTAAGGCCGTTTATCATTGTCTAGAAGGAAGGGTCTGTTGGGCTGGCCGGGCAGAATGTGCCTGACGGTAGGGCCAAGGATATAAATGGCCACATCCCGAAGGGGGTGCTGATGAGAAAGGATGGAGTTCAGGAGGTTGGAAATCTGCAGAGATTGTTCAAGTGATCAAGTGCAAATTGTACTATGAAATTTGCATAATTATTGAATATCTATGACTTCCCGGGTCTTTATATCGGGGAAGCTGTAGTTTATTCATTGTTGGCTAAAACATTCCTGGAACGTCTCCCAATTAGTATGCATTTTGTGGTGATTGGTTTGTTGTTCTTCGATTATGACATCGGACACCTGGGTCAAAAGGTATCTGTGGTCGCTAGCGGACGGAATGAGCATCGTCTCGCATTCAGAGATTCGATAGCCCAGGTCCGCAGAAACCAGACAGACATCCGTCCAGCCCTCTGCATGGGGAGTGTGAAAAGTCGGGTGTGTCGTCATATTGACCGATATAAGATTGTTTGAGTCCATAAAATCTGCCACCAACCTTCCCATTTTATCTTCCTTATTGTGGAACCAGATCGCTGATTTAGCGTTCAGGTCCCCAGCAATAATGACGTTTTTAATGTCAATTCTGCTCGTGACACTTACCAGCTCGTTGATGCAGCTCTTATCATTTTCTTCGGGTGAAAAGTACACACTTAATAGGTATATTGGGTTCTCTTGGTGTATCATCGCCGTGCAGATGTTGGGTGAGCAAAGCCACGGGATGAGAGCAATGTTTAGTTTGTCGTTGCAGACGAGGATCCCGCACTTCGGCCGTGTGTTGTAGTGGCCTGCGAGGACCTTCCAGTTCCCAAACCTGACGATGGTGTTGTCTATAGTGTAGGGTTCCTGGATCATTATTATATCGCTGTTTGTATCGTTTGCAGTCTTTATAAGCAACGAGCTGGCTGCCTTACTCTTTTGGGCGTTTATTTGCAGAATTCTTATCGTGTTGGTTATCCGGTGGTGACTATTTGTTATCATTTCCTCTGTTGACTGGTCGTTGTTTGTGTGGGTCTGTGTTGGATTGCTCGTGTGGCTATTGGCCATAATCCGTTCTGTTTGTGTGTTGCTGTTTCAGTCGTTGGAGGAGCGGGCAGCTGTTGCTGAATGCATTGTGGTTGACTGGTCTCTGTTTGTTCTCTGGGAGACTTTCGTTTGCTTTTTTGCAATTGACACATACAGGGTTTTTCTGCCGTCTTGTACAGTCTTTGTAGCCATGTTCTTTCGTACAGTGGCTACATTTTTTAACGTTTGTACGGTCCTGTGCATAATGGTCAAAACCACAGCACTGGTAACACCTTATAAGTGGTATTAAGTCATCGATGTAGATTGTAAACCACGACATTGATGTGTGTCTGTGGTGTATGAGAATGTTTCGGATGGCCGGTGTTACTGACAGAACAACGTTTCGGCAGTTCTCTTTGACTTTGCCGTTTTTTAAAATCGTGCTTATTTTGCACGCAGTTATTATTTTGTCCGTCGTCTTGTTCCCCCATATATTATTTTGCTCTGCCATTACTCCTATGATGTCTTCTTCTGATATGGCATTGGGGACGTTTAGTAGTATTATCCTGGGTTTTTTGCCCTCGGATATCTTACAGTTAATTTTTGATTGTATGTTCGGTATTGCTTCTATGGCTTTTTTTAATACTTTACTATCTCTCTCGCTGCCAACCCTAACACACACTCTGTCTGCCTTGACCCTACGGACGGCCTTTACCGTTATCTTAAGCTTGTGAGGTTTGATTTCTTTGATTATTTCTGATGTAACCTAATCCATATCTATTTTTGGCCTTCCTCCTTAGCTTGTGGGTACAGGAGGACCGCGTGGGTACCTCCAGAGCCCTCCACCTGTACTTTCCTGTGTATTGAATCCGATATAGTTTTTGTTGTGCGGCTGGGTCTGATGTCGATGTTGGCGCTGGCCACCTGTGCGTATGTTTTCGTCGTTGTTTGCGGTTCGTGGACTGGAATCTGGGTGGAGCGGCCTCCAGTTTGATCCTCATCTCGTGCAGAATTCCGAACATCTGGCAGACGCAACTGTGCAGTTGCAACGCCTGGTCCTTTACTTCTTTTCGTTCCTTGGTGTTTAGTGAGGGTTTGTTTTTAGCGGGAAGAAGATCCATTACTTTTTTCAGATGTTGACTTACTTCCTTTAGTATTTTGTCTTCTAGGTTTTTGAGACTTTCCGGCGGACTCGATGTAGCTGGTTCAGCTGGTGTTGCCAGTATGGTTGACATATCTAATTTTTTAGTTGGTTCGGGTGACTCCATTTTTTTGCAATGAGCAGAGTTCTTACCAGAAAAGTTTCTTACCAGTGTTCTGTCCTCTGGAGCCGTTTAGCTTGAATTCGCCGATTGGCTTGTTAATAATAATTTAGATACTAAAACAGTTAAGTCGCGGGACGTAAGTATCCCTTAACCAACAATCCGACAAGCACAGTAAACTGAGCGTAAGTCGTGGCTCGAGGTTATAACTGAGAAAACAACGGATCGCCGAAAGGCTACAACGATGCCGATCGGCTAGATACCCGTCCGTTAAACCGCCGATCAAAACCGATCGCGCTTATAAAACTGATAAGGGAGCTGAGATGGTACTTCCATCGAAAAACGAGATCGCAGTTATGAAAATTTGCCTCCACGCTAGGCCGACGCCGATCGGCTGAAATCTTTCCGGTCAGCTAACACGCACGTGGCGGAATGGCCCTTTGTTAACGGTGAATTTATTATCCGTTTATATCTTGAGAACCGTAATATATAACCGAGCGAAATTTTTATACGACGTAGTTGGTACAATTTGCTGTCTAAGGCCGTCGATAAAGATATCAGATGGTGCACGTGGGGCCCGATGGGGCCCGAACAAAACCGAAAAGTTCGAACACTCGTAACTCCCGAACTACAAGTCGGAAATTAAAAATTTTTTCACTCACGGAATCCTTGCGATAAGTGCTGTCCAGCGATGTATTATTTTCATCTGTCGAAGCTAAATATCCTAAGTTCTGATGATCTAAGGACGGAGCACAAACAGAAGCACTACCCCATTGAACAGATAGGAAACTCCTTTTTTCCACACACACATACACATAAAATGTTTATCCAATTGAATTTTTATGATCCACTGTAATCCAACGGCACACTGTAATGAAAATCCAAATTGGCACTTAAATAGCACACTTACGGTAATCCAAATGCACTAATGGTCATAACACAACCGGCTAAGACCAAAAGGAAGCACTGGAAAAAGGAAGGGGAAGTCGATAGGCCCATAGACAGGGGGTAGGATAAGAGGAAAACCTGGTGTGAATTCACACCAGGGTCAGGGGACAGTGTGGGGGCGAACCCACCACAAAAGGGGAAAAGAGTTGCTGTCCAGTCAGCGAATACACGTTGTGTTGCAAACGTGCAGGCCAACTTTTCAGCAAAAAGAGAAGGCTAAAGGAAAGTGGAATAACCAAAATCCAGATACTTACCAGATCAGTAAGAAAGGTGAACAGATACTTTTTAATTAAACTTTATTGAAATCATTAGTAATTACATGTCAGCAACATGCTGATTAAAAGAGTACATGAATGGCTTAATTAGTACATTTTATGAGAAATAACATGTTAACTTGTAACATACTTGATTTTACAATAGGCAATATGCTCATAATACTTTGAGATATTTACAGGAGCGAAATATGTACAAGATATATACAAATAGGTATTATGAGTGCATGTGCATGCAAGCAACAAGAATAACAATGTAGTAAATCGGGACAAGCCCATACATACAAGTTGTAGGAATACAAATATAATGATGGTGAGGACATAGTATCAACAAAGTTAAACAGAGATACAATTGAAGAATAGCGACAAGAGATGTAGTGTTGTTACCATTGATTATTAAACATATACATAGTATTGATTTCTTTGAAAATAACATTAATGGTACCGACATAGTGAATGTTAAAGTCTTTATCCATTACCAGATTCTTGTCATTAGTGATTTTGAGGTTAGAGTCTTCGCGGATTTTGTTAACTATCAGAGTTGCGTTCCATTTTTTATCATCAAAGAGGAGGGCGCACCTTGCCTTCCATAAGAGTCTTTTAGTTAAGGCGAGCATCCAGTTCAGGCAGTATTTATTCTGGTTCTTAACTGGAAGATTGTTGTGGAATTTAACACAAGACCAGGGAATATTTGTAGTGAAAATTTTATTAATCCAGTTCCATACCTGTTTAGCTGTGGTGCATTCATAAAACGTATGGAAGATGGTCTCGTCTTTTAAACAACGAGGACATTTGGCACTGCGCATGTGACAGTAGGTGTGGAGGTAGTCTTTGGTCATAACGATGTTATTTATGATTCGCCAGGAAGTTTCTTGCCATTCGGCGGGGATCCTTTCCATATTGTACCATGTGTTAGACCAGTTGACAGATGGATTGTTGAGATTGGTGTTGATAGATTGAGTATGGATCTTTTTGTAGATGGTGCTGGGTCTTATCTTGTCACCAATTAGATCGTTGTTGATGAGCATGCTAATGACCTTTCTCCAGTGGCTAAGCTTACTGGAGTTTAAAAGAAGGAAAGGTTTGTTAGCAGTAGACTTGTCAATGCGTTTTATGATCATGCCTAGGAGGTAGTATGTGGCGTCATAGAGAGGATGATTGCGGTTGAGAGTTGAGTTGATCATATTGGAAAGTTGAAGGGAGAACTCAAGGTTCTTGAGGTCCCACACCCTCCAACCTCCTTGCTGGATACAGTTTTTCATTAAGAGGCTCGTAGTCATTATGCCATATGAATTTGAATATTATCTAGTTTTTTTATTTCGTATTTGCTGAGATTAGTTATGTAAAGAGTGTACATAATCCTGGCAATAAGGACTTTGCCACAGTGACATGTTCTGGAAGGTACAGCCATATGGTTTCCCAGTCAGATGTTGCTTCTTTAATGTTGGTGATCATGTTGTTGAGATTTTTCTGGTTACTATTTTTGCCATACCAGACCCCCAGTATTTTAATGCTGTCTACAGTGTTGAAACCAGGGATGTCATGCTTAATGTTTCCATTGATTCTAAGAATTTTAGTTTTGTTTTCATTGATAGTCATGCCAGTGAGGTTGCTGAAATTATTTATCTTTTGAATAATTCTTTTGAGAGTGATGTTGTCAGTTATGAAAAAATTGATGTCGTCGGCGTGTGCGATAAATTTGGTATTACTATTTTGACCAGGAATATAAAGTGGTGCGATAAGTTTGTCTTTGCTGATCATGTTCAGGAGGGATTCGATATATATAGTAAAGAGGATCATGGAACAGGGCCATCCCTGTCTTACACTAGCGTCGCAGTTGATGAAGTCTGAGGAACGGTTGTTAATACTGATTTTGGTCTTGGGTGCATGGTAAAGGATTTTGATTTTGTCAATTTCATCATTGTTTAGACCATAGGCTTCGAGAGTTTCCACGGTACCTCTCTGTTCACCTTGTCAAAGGCTTTTTTGACGTCAACAGATAGGATGGAGAGGGGGGCTTTTCTCTTGATGTATATGTCTTTTATTAAGTTCAGGAACATCGTGTTGTTCTGAATTGCCCTGCTTTTAATGCCTGCACTTTGGGTGGGGCTGATGTGCGGGTGGAAAATGTTCTCAATTCTCTTGGCGATGATTATACTATATATTTTATATTCCATATTGAGTAGTGTTATTGGTCTAAAATCTTCGACCTGTCCACCTTCATTATCTTTTTTGTTGATGAGATTCATTCTGCCCCAATTTAAGTCGTCATTAAAAGTGTTAGCATTGAAAAGAATGTGGAAGATGTCTGCAAAATTGTCCCTAAAGTAACGGTAGAGTTCGGCAGGGAGATTATCTATGCCTGGGGCTTTCCTAATATGAAGATCTGTAATTGCTTTTTTTATATCGTCCTTGGATATTACCGAGTTGATAATGTTATCATTGTCTTTGATGGGGATTATGAGATTGCGGATGTCCTCCCAAAGTTTCCAATTGGTATTGGGTTTTTTGTAAAGGCTGGTGTAGTAATTATGGAAAGCTTTAATTATTAGATTTTCAT